TTAGGGAGGCAGCAGAAGGCAAAGCAGGGAAATCTGTAGGATTGGATAGAAAGTAAAATAGATACATACTTCTTTTACAGTAGTAGGTACAGGATATTTATCATTTCACATTTACAGTAAATAGAGATGGTCCGAGGCAACAAGATAACAATAAGGCGTTTCCTGGTGCAGATGGCTATGCCTTTTCCAAGGGGTCTGAAAAGACAGTTATTGACATTCTAAGGGCATGTTCTCCCAGATGCACAAAACAATGGACGGGGCTCACTTAAGGCACAAATTAACCTTTTATAAGGAATCGATAGGCGCAGACGGTGCCCATGCACTGTGACATGCCCAGCTGGGAATTTGTGAGTAGACATCCTGTGTGGTCCCTCTGGTCACTGTGCTTGGCAGGGTTGCTACATCGCCTCTGTTTTCCTCACATGTAAATCGTAGCAGGCTGTAGGCTGGTGACTTTCTCAGACCCTGGCCCAGCCCTGACTGATTCTCACAGGGCTTACAGACCCGCAGTTCCCAGAGCAGCCCCCTGGGAGCGGGACCAGGCTTCCTCCTTGGGAAGCTAGTGGGCCCTGATCACACCACCCCAGTCCCTTCAGGGACTCCCCGGGAAACAGGGCAGGCCCGGAGCCTGTAAGGTGTGCTTCAGGCTAGGTTTCTGTCATCCAGGAAGCTTGGGGGGCAGGGTTCACAGTGTGGGCCAGGGCCTCTGCCATCCCTGAGTCTCTTGAGTCTGACATCCTCTACAGCTCAGGCACTCGACCTCGCCTTAACCTCATCCAGGACAGGGCTTAAGCTTGACAATGACTTTATTAAGATCTTTGCACATCTCAGGGTCACTCAGAGCTCCCGATGCCAGCTCTGAGTCTCTGTTCTCCCTGTGCTCTCATAAACCAAGCTGGCCTGGTTGACTCTTAGCCATAAGGAGTCAGGTACATTTTGCCTGCTTTTGCCTGCTGCTGGGAGGTACCTGTGACCTGCTGGTGAGCGGCCTGTGGCCACCCTCCCCTTTGGGAAGGAACCTGA